GGTAGGACTCCTTCTCGGGCATGAAGGTCAAGTCATAGACATATTAGAGACAGAAACGGAAGTTAGGAGGGGTAGAGGTAGACCTAGATTAGATTACTGTTCGTAAATAGTTAAGGATGTGGGATGTTCTAGTTTAAGGGAAATGCGAAGATTAGCTCAGGATAGGAAAGAGTGGAGGTGCGTGTCCAACCAGTCTTATGACTGACGACCTAATGATGATGAGTCTGGGTATATACTTTTCTACTTGTGCTACTGCGTGAAAATTATTAGACCTAGTCCTATGACCACTATCAGATTAAGCTTCTCTTCAACTACTTAGTATAATCCTGATTATCGCAGTTTTTCAAGAAATCATCAATCACTTCATTAGAACGCCAATTTTATTAGGCAGAATGCTCATGTAATTCCAAGTAAGGTAAATCTCGATTCTGGTAAATTGAACGAAAATGTAGGTTAGCTATAAGCCGATACCCGGACAGGACAATTTTTATTGCTTCCTAATACCTTTCAAAATTGTAATCGTGGGAACATGCTGACAATAAACTAACCCCATTATCATCCTTTGCGAAATTGCCAACGATTGCAGTAATAGCATATATTTTGCAGACGAAGGTTTCTGCTTTCCAATCGCGTAATATGTATTTTATAATGACAGTGTGGACTCGAGAAACTCTGGGAACAACATCAAGAAATGTATGTACGTAAACTCCATGGGGTTTGCAAAATACGTACATCAACTCTTTGAAATGTTAAAATAATAAACAGTACCTAAATATTATCCCCTATTAATAATATAGGTACCTACCATTATTGTAGAATGTAAAAATTTTTATTAATATTTAAGTTGCACATTACTGTGTACTTTATAAAATTGTTTTCCCTGGAATAAGTACCCTTATAACATTGCTATACTCCTTTACAATGGGTCGACTGGTATTTATCGTCAAGGAAAGGAGAAAGGTTATAGGTCAAATTCGCTTCTCTTGCTCTTGGGGAAGAATAATAAACAATAAGCAAAAGATAACTGACACGACTGGGAAGATTAAATGTCATGACCCTTGAACCTTAAATCTAACAAACCTTCTCACCGATGGACCCCACAAAAAACCTAATCGGAAGTGCGGTTAAATATTCATAAAACTTCAGGAACATTCCTAAGAGATAAACCAATAAGGGGTACATCCCTAATTACAATAGGTAACCTATGGAAAAACCGGCACGTGTTTTGCCCACTTCAACTGTAAACTGAATAAAACTGAAAGACACGAACCTGAAATGGCGAATTATCCACATCAAACAGGTAAGTACCCTGTAAGGGCAATTATAATTTGGCGCAAGTCATCAGTGCAATTTCCCTGCAATAAAGTATCTACGACGTGACACACCTGTTGCTTTAAAACGGTTCCATCTCAGACGAAGAAAGATTAAAAGGCACTAATACGTCTTCTATTTCACGTATCTCTCAATTTAACAAAGAGATTATTTAGTATTTCAGCTTCATTTTAAAGGTAACACTCCTGTTCGCTACCAAGAAACCTGCAAATTTTCAGTTAATTGTTATCAAAGTAATAAAAGTACTAATAGAGCTTCTCAAAGGAGTTGCCTCCATGTAGAGCTAAAAAAACGACTTTAATAAAACTTCGTACATAAATAAAAGGTTTGTGGAAAAAATTGTTGATACGTTGAAACAAAGCACTTGGAAAATAAACAAGCCATGTCGCCTTACAAGAACGAAGTTTCGTATTACGTTGTTCGACAAATAATAATTATAAATTTTGATCAAAGTATTTAGTAAAATAAAACAGACCAACGGTTGTTATTAACAGACTCAGTTTTCAGAGTTTTTTGAAATAAGTCCTATTTGAAATATATTCACCAGATTAATCGAATGTACCCCGTCAGCTTTCTCTCACTTTGTAAGAAGTAAATAAGAGGGAGAGAGATGTCTACTAACACGTTTGACCATTGGCGAGCGTTGCCAGACCTACGAAAATTTTGAACTGAGCTGACTATTAAACGTCTTATCAAAAGATTAAAGGATTCCTTATTGTTAGGTGTACCTTCGATATCTAGGATGTTGTCACTTTTAATTAAAATTTTTCATTAAAATTCAGTAGTTTTCACACATTCGAGGTAGAACTATACAATTATTATTATATCCTTTCAGCAATGCATCCCTAAATAACATATGTACAAATGTCTGACAAGGCGGATGGATAGCACTTGAACCTTCGGGTACGGAACTCTAATAAAGATGACCATTCCGTTAATCTGAAAGAAAAAACGTTCCAGGACGGTCCACTTCAATTTTGAAAACGACTCGAATGTACTAAAGAAATGAAAATGAAAAAATTGTCTAGACACAAGCTAAATGAACCAGAATTTTACTCTCAAATAGCATTCTAATTCTTTGTCGTTTGTGCAGTCTGGTATTGTCATATTGAAAGATCGTCTCTCTCAATAGCTGTGTTTCTGTCTGTTCTACAATAAATGGAATTAAATCCAGATTGGATTTCGACTGAATTACGGTGATGAGTAGCCAGGGTAATGTCAAGTAGAACTTCTGATTTTCATTGTTAAATTTATAAATAATTCTTCATTAAAAGAAAATTGACAATACAATATTCAACCAGGTTAAATAAAAATAAGATCTGAAAATAACTAAAAGTAACAATTCAATATTATAAGTAATATTAAGGTGTTTCGCATCCTATAAATAACCCTTAGACACACTGACAAATTATCTCATAGGCATAATCTTACATTAAATGACTTTTAGAGCTAGGATACAAAAAATTATTGTGGGACATTAAAATACAATTGATAATACAATATTCGACCAAGAAAAATAAGGTGTAAGCATTCGTTTTCGCAGTAGCTTTTAAAGGTCAGCATCACTCAACATTGCTCTAACCATTATTAAATTTCTCTGTAGGAAATCTACGTTATACCTAAATGCAATATCACACTACAACAAAAAGCCTTATTTTACAATGCAACAAAAGCATTTTTCAGGATGCAATTTCTGCGACGAGGAAAAAAAATTTTGAAATCATGTTTTCGTAAAGCGATTGTTCGAAATGATGGATGCAACGAGAGATGATAATTGATGTATGCGGGCTAAGTTTAATGCTGAAGACACGTTTTGGATGCCCGCTGTTTATTATGCACCCATAAAAGCTAAAATTCAATTACAAAGTGCGAAGAACAGGTTCGAAGAAGGCCAAAACGATTTTTATTGCAAGCTGGAAAAACGAAGTGGCCATATTTTTTTCTGTAACGTTCGCTTGGACGTAATTTACAGTTAATGTGTCGTTCGATTTTTCAATGGCAATTTTGGGACACGTTAAGAAACAATATTGCACTTTCCAACGAAACAAATTACATCGAAAGCGTAATGTTAAGTGTCTGACCTGAATGAACATGGAGATATTTCGTGCAATTTAGTGCTATTAAGTTTTAACACGGATTCTTGCTAAACAGAAAACCGTAAAACTTATTTAATTTATAATCAGTCGTGGCTAATAAAGAACTACCTCAACTGGTTTATTTTCATATGTACTTACATTTAAAATTATTCGAGAGTATGCATTTCAATGTTTGTCAGGCTAGTACATCCACATCGCAAAATCATGAGAATTTAGTGCTTTTTTTAGTGTTCTAATTAAATTCCAAAATTTCTTAGTAAACGAACTTGCATGGTACTCTTTAATTTAGGTCTTCTTAAATGTTTTTGAAAGAACTATTACCAATTTGCATAGGTAAATTATACTCGATAATATGTTGTAAAATTACGCTTTCTTCCATCAAACATTCAGCTGTCTCGTTCACACCGATAAATGCTTAAAATTAATAAATAAGGCTGAAAAATATTGCTTATAAATTTAAGATTTCTTGCCATTGCAAACAAATTGTCAATACAGTCACTCTTATTTTCGTCTCATTCTTGTGTCAAAAAGTGCCTCATCCAGGAACGCAGTATGTTATTCTCTCATACCTGATAGTAGGTAGACCTAAATACACTGAAAAACAATTTGGTGAAAATCAGAAAACTACAGTTACTTTAATGATAATTTTGACTGAAATGGCAAGAAATCTTTCTATCCTAACAGCAACATTTTTCAAACTTCTTCGCTACTTAAAAACTGTTTAAATACCTAAGTATTTATTTATTCAAGTTCTTCTTTCTGAGATTTTAATTAACAAACTTTCTTCACATGAAAAGTTTTAAATGTTTATCTTAAATATTCGAATTTGTATTAGTATATTAAATTTTGAAACTGTCTTTATAAGAGTTTACAAAACGAAGATAAAAGTCAAATCAACTTTTGATAAGTCATCAAAGCACCGTTTGGACGATGCTGAAGATCAATTACATTCAAAAGGTCACAGTATATTTGAGCCTTTTATTTACTTGAAAGCCGTAGCTTTAATTAACTTAGTTCTAAAATTAAAAATAGTGCTTTAATTTTACGAAAAGCAATCTTTAACTTATTCAATAAACAACAACAGATTACCTTATAACGTACAAAACCTTTAATGATGAAGAAACACCTCTTTAGTACCTCTGTACCTACCTCGAAGATAAACCTTAAGATTCGTCTGAGACAGAGACAGGAATAGGGTTGTCGTCCGGCCCAATATACCGGGACTGCTCCCTTTGCGAGAGTCCCTTTATCTATTTAATTCAAATACCATGGATGAATCCTTGCATAATAAGAGAATCATTCACTTATGAATTCCCAATGAACTGACGATAGATATCGATTGTCATAGGACTCTATCTTAGTGTCAATTTAATTTTAAAATGAACATGAAAAGGAAATTCTGCAAAACAAATCTTCAATACTCCTAAAACTTTTTAAATATTTTTTTATAAAAAAATAATTTGGGGTTTAATTTTTGTATTTTTATTTTTTCCATTTTGCGATTATACCGCCCCGACGCTGACCTGACACTTCATGGAAACCCTAGACAGGAAGAAGTTTAGTGAGACTCACCTGGCAAAAAAAGCCGCAGCGGCCGAAGCTTGGGCAACACTTCCGGGCAGTCCATTAACAGCGAAGGCGTACCTCGTCTCCGCATAAACCCCAAATACTTCTTTCTCAGAACCAACAAGTGCACCCCCTACGTATCCAACACTGCTCTCATGATACCCCACTAAACTTTTCACTTTACCGACCGGCTCGGCAACGCCGGGTTTTCCCGTCGCGTTTTTCGGATGTCCTTTATTTTTCACCTGAACCACCGGCACTTTACTGTTCGGGATGCGCGCGTATTGCGGCTTCTCGACCGCACCACAGTTCGTCGTTTGCGTTCTGTGTTTCGATAGTCTTTGATCGTACGCGGATTTTTCTAGCAGTGCAAGTTCTAAGGGTTGTCTTTGTTTGAAATGTTTCGGTTCCATCGAAGATTGCTGCTGTTGCTTCGTAGGAGGAATGATGCTTGATGGCTCGGTTGGCGGGATTCTTTTACCGGCTGGCTCAAGAAAGCGCGTCGCTTTCGTATTAAACGAATCGGTCTGATGTCGGCTAATTTTGTTGGTACGTTCGCGGTCAGTCTTGTCGCGGGTTCTCGACGCTGCTGCATCTGCTATCGACTGCGAAAGGGAAGAAACTGCAGAGTATCGTGGCGGAGGTTTCGCGCGCCCATTGACTGAAGGCTCCCACTCTTTCTCGTGGGCCCTATTACACGTCTGTTGCTTCTGATAAAGGTTGTGGTTGTACCCATTCATCGGTTTTGTTTCCGGTATTATATATTCTGTAGATCGGATCAACTCCATGTTTAACTAAAAAAAAAAGAAATTCAATTGGGTTACATATGAAGAAGACCTGATGACTTTGCTTCGTAAATTGAGATACAAATGTTTCAATTAAATTGCAAATAAAGTATACCTAAACTTCTTCTTTTTTGGGGAAAACCCCTTGTAAGATCGTTACTTTGTCATATGACTTAGAAATTATTTAACGAAGATGAAAATAGGAAAACCTCGTAGACCTTCATATTTTTAAAACTTTACCTCACATTGGAAAAAAAGGGTTCAGAATTAAATCAATAATTATCGACCTTTTTTTATTTAACATAAATTATTAGATATTTTTATATTTGTCGCAGTTAAGAATAATAAGTTAGAAAGAGAAGAAATTTAGGATTTAATTGAATTAATTAAAATGAAATCTTTATTCATGTAAACCTATTGTTATTGGTCCAATAAAACCGAAATTGTCTTGTGATAAAAACGGTTGTCTACGTGAAAATAAAAAGAGTCGTTAAATAGAATTTGAGTAAGAGATTGGTTTCGCCATCGTGGTAAAGAAAGACGCCACAATGAAGTTGTTTTCGAGTAAAATGTCATCCATGAATCAGAGAGGACTTCGAAGCAACGAACCATAAAACAACGCGGAGAACATCAGTGAAAACCAGCCATTAAGGCCAGCAGATAAATCACTGTAATTGAATCAAAACAAAAATTACAAGTAACTTTCGCAAATTGGTTAAGAATGAGACAAAAAAGTCCCTCACTTCCTCGCACACGTCCAGGGTTAATAAATTTCCCAGTTTCCTGGAATCTTCCGGACCTGTTTCTTGGCCGACTCAGAACTATTTCTCCGTTTTTGTTCCCTTAATGTCTTCCAGGCGATTTTATTTTGTAAATGTATTTCCAGACGTTTTAACCTACACAAAATTTATGGAATTATCTGCACCAGACAACACATCATAAGAAATGTATTTCAACATTAATTCAATTCGAGATAGAAACAAACTTGTTCCTTAAAATTTTAAATAATTACTAACAAAATATTTGTGACCTTCTAACTCATATGAACAAATGTTTATAAAGTATTTTTTCATAATTACTATGATTAGGATTTATATCTCTATGGTGATGATGATATTGATAATGATGATTGCGATTTGCTAATTACCATTCTTCTTTTGAAACATCACGTTCGTTTTAAATTTTTTTATCGTAAAAATTATATCAAGGTAAATAGGGTAATATTTAGGTTCCCCTTAAAAAACTATATAAATTTTATGTTTACCATTTATCTAATTTGTTTTCTTTGGGAAAATCAGGAATCGACGACACCAGAATTTGATAGTCCTTTCAACCTACGCCATGATATACATCTTGATGTAACGTTTTCCACTCTGAAGTTGATGTGAAAAGTATTCGTTATAAGTAGTTTGAGTTTTTCAAACTAATTTCTAAAAGACTTTAAAGTCACATTCAGGTTTTATCAACATATTTCCTTAATTATCTTGGTCAGGCCGGAAACTTATCAATCCATCCTCGTACATCTTGATGTAACGTTTTCCACTCTGAAGTTGATGTGAAAAGTATTCGTTATAAGTAGTTTGAGTTTTTCAAACTAATTTCTAAGAGACTTTAAAGTCACATTCAGGATTTATCACCATATTTCCTTAATTATCTACATCTTTTGTAATAAACCTACTTTAAACCAATGAGAATTTTTTGAAAATTGAAAATCTATAAAAACATAAAATAGTAAAATTTAAAAAAAGTTATTCGGTCCTTTTTGTGTTAAACTACGAGGGGAATCGTAGTTTTTATTTTAATATAGGTACGACCAAAAATTGTTGTGATTATCGAATCAAAAAGTGTTACACGGACTGCCACTTTCAACTTTATAATTCTCTGTTCATCTCTTAAGAAGAATCACTTCCTAATGCGACTATTATTGTACGTAATTACCTCTTATAAAACGTCATTCACGAAATAAGTATTTATAAAAGGACGAAAATCCATCGATTTCAGTCCTTAATTCCGCCATTATTGCAATTCTTCTCCTCGTGATCGGTGCAGTCAAGCTTCTATCAATCACTCTTAGCGTCAGTTTTCAGGGGGGCCACCAAGTAAGTGTACGTCTCTGTATAGTAGTCTCTTACTATAAGAGATTATCGAAGGATTTTATACAGACGAAACACGCATATAAATCTATCAATCGGACCCTAAACAACATTAGATACTCCCCGTTTTCTAATAAGAATGTAAATCCCGGTTTTATTCTTATCATGATGATAAGGGAAAATTTTTGGAACTAATTTTAATGTCTGACTATGAAATTTCGACATTCCACAAAGAAAAATACCATAATCTTTTAATAATGTTACTAGTTGAGCACTTTTAAATTTGGGTGCACACATGTCATTTAGAGAAACTATTTCCATTACAATCTAACCCCATCCCTTAGTGCATACCACTCACAGATACCTTTCCCCACTCAATCTAACTCACAATTCATATTGCATAGCATTTCACAAAAGCTATTCACTTCGTTCGTATTGTCTTTTCCTACCGTAACCTCATGATCTTAAACGATCAAATAAAAGTATTCTTCGGTTGATGCATTAATGGGGTATGTATGTTTTTTTTTTTACATGAAACAACTTTTCATTTATGATCCCCTGGGTTTCTACAACCCACATCTCCATCAATGTGGTTCTTTAATTCTCTCCTACTGCCCCATGTAGAAGGTGCCCTCCTATCACACATAAGTCGTAAAATTTGACAACCTCGGTATGCGAAAGCATTATTACGTATATCGGGGTATAATCTTTATGTCAAATTTGTGCATTACAACACCTGATTCTTTGTTATCATTATACATGTGAACATTAAATATATCTTATTAACTAAAAGGTTTTATGTGGAATTAAAATTTGTTGGTCAGTAACTATATCTGAAAATTCTTAGATTTTGTTATGCACAAAGAAGAAAAGAAATACGTAGTAACTTGCAATGCGCGGTGTGAGTCAGCTCAAAACTGATATCCTCATTAATCATGTGGTCGAACTTCGAACCCCAAACAAGCAACGAAAAAGAGCAACGCTCGAGGTTGAGGTCCATCATTTCTAGAAATTGCCTACGATTCAAAACCATACTGTACACGCATTTCCCCCAGGGGAAAAATTCCAGTAATTCATAGATTTATGTTCGAAGGCGCCCAGTTTTCCTGCACACTGATTTATCTAGACTATAAACGCACCCACTCGACGAAGATTATAGATTAAGAGCCAGGAAGTGTAATAATTTGTTTTCCTTCGGTTTTCGGCGCGTTGACGAGATGAACCCCGAGATATCGAGGAAGATAGGAGCACGTTTAGGGTGGGCAGGTGACGGGGTGGTACTTGACTCACTTACTTTGCATCCGGCGAACGAAGGGGAGAAACTAGAGGGGGATGATGCTGCGACAGGGTACGCGGCTAAATCCGTTAATCAGTTCGCAACAGAGAAGCTTCGGTATTTTCACATACACGATTTCAACTTTTTTCAATCGAAACTTATAACTCGTTTAGCCCAAATTAATTTCCTCCCCCAATCACTTTAAAATATTTTTTGTCGATTCAGATAATCATAAATAAATACATTGCTTGCAGCTACAGGGTGTATATTTCCTATTAACTGGTATTTCAAATGTTTGACGAGGCCTCCAAAGGTATCTACTTGACCAATTCAATCTACAATCTCGTTAATAAATTCGAAATTGCGATCCGCATCTTGTGTTCTTTGAAATTGGAACTTTGGTCAAAACAGAATAAAGCAAGTGAAATTAAGACCAATGATTTTACTTCTGTTATAGTTTAAAAATAGTTTTAATTTTTGAGAAATTTAGAATTAGGATTTAAAAAAAGTAACCTCTTATATGTAGGAAATTGTATTATGCTCAATGTCTCTCGTTTCCAAATTAAGTAAGTTGCAAGAGACTATTCAATATGAACAAATGTAAAGTTCGCGAAGATATCTACATCACTTTCGATTCTGGAAGACGGAGCAACGACACAACATTTCTAACAGTGTTTGAAGTTCCGAATGCATATTTTAAGGCTTTCCCTTTATGAATCGAAAAGTAAAAAGCGAAATGTTTTCACATAAGTACTGCATGGTAGTATACGGATACATACATATGTACCTACGTACAATAGCTTTTTGGATATGAAAAAGACTCTTTTGAAGCGGGACATTTTCGAGGTAAAAGTAACAATAACGCAAGCATCAAACGGCAAGTCATCCAGATCGATGACACGTAGAGATAATCAAAGAAAGTCCCCTAATTATCTGGGAATTTGAACAAAAAGCGCATTTCACCCGTTCTCCACTCACTCACTCACTCTCTCTCTCCCTATATCCTATCCTATCCTATCCCAACCAACGCCCGTCGTGACAAAGCAAACTCTCCTGAAGGGCTCTCCACCATCCCGTTATGTTCGACCCAGCAGCCTTCGTGAACCAGACATGATGCCGGCTTTAATCTTCCTCTCGTCACGTACGCGTCGCCGTTTTATATTCCCGTGCGTGGATGGAAGGATTTCACCGAAACGCAGCTCAGTCCTGTGTCTATGAAAATTACTCAAAGATCGCATCTCTCATGTACTTTCGTACAGATTTAACTCCGAATTCACTTCACATTCAAGTGGACGAGTACATAAACATTCATGTCTCCGTACGTACAACAGCAACTGCACCAAGTCAAATAATCAGTCAAATATTAATTCAAAATCGTTCATTGTTTACCATTACCACAGACAACATGGTCCATTTGAATAGATGGATATTTACTTGCTGTTTTAAAATGACACCTATTGGTTATGTTCACCAGATGAAAACTATCCATTAAGGCGTTGAAGGTGAGGAAAATGATATTCTATAGTTTTCAAAACCACATAGCATCTAGCAACTGAGAAAGGGTTTTAGTTTACTACCAATTTTTAGTTCTCAAAATTATGCGTCCACTATGAGAGCCGCCCAAGAGTTACCAGTGGTTC